TAGGGGAGGTGCTTACAAAGCGCCAAATCCTGTACATTAGCTTCCTTAATACTAAACCAAAAAGTCCGAAACCTACATCGTATCCTTGAATCCACAGCCTTAACCGTCCATCCAGGCGGCGGGTAGCCCTCGCGTCGGAGGATCGACTGGATGGCCTTTCCACATATTGGCACGGGCTTGGGGGTTAGGATGGTGGTGCGTGGCTTATAGGGGCTGGGGGATTGGGCACGTGGGGTTCAGAAATTCTGGCTTATAGCGCTAATGGTTTTTGGGTTTGGGATCACAAGTTTAGGGTTTAAGGTTTGGATCTTCGTATTACAGTGCAGGGCTTTCTTGGCTCGTTGGGCTGCGGGTTCAGGAGTTGGAGCTCCGAACTTAAGGAAAAAGTTGGCGTGGAACAGAGGGGTCAGGAATTATGAGTTGAAGTCTAGACAGTCTAGGTTTTTGGGTGTAGGGTTTCACGCTGAAAGTGTCGAGTTTAGGCTTTGGGGCTCAGGGAACTGATGGTGTGGGCTTTAGATCGCGGATTTGGGGTCGGGTTGTGGGCTTCGGGCTCAGGATTGAATACGCCAGGGACAGTTGTGCCAGCTTGCCCCAGCTTGCTCCAGCTTGCCCTGCTGCAGAACGCCAGAACGAACCTTAAAGCAACCGCCCTGCCCAAAGAGTAAACTAAGGGAGAGCTGCAGGGAGGGGCTCTGGGAATACTCACTGCGGGTTTTGGAACTACATCTACAACCCAAACCTGGCCTAAGACAGCCCTGACGACCTGATGGCTGGCTGTTTTTAGCCGAAGAGTAATCCCAAAAATTCCTCCACTCAACCATTCATCCCTAACTGAGCCTATCCCTGAACCATGTTCGCTAGGCCCTTCTTCTGTGACCCCAAACCCGCCAACAACGAGCCTCAGCAACTACCGCCCAGTTGCCTGCCAGGCAACCGCGCAGACGGGTTGAGATGTCAGGGGTTTGGAGCTGCGGGTGTAGCGCTCACAGGTTGTGGTGTGGGGCTTAGGGCTTAGGGGCTTTATGAGTTGAATGTGGGCTTGGGTGCCGGGATTGATGCACAGGAATCTGCAAGGCTTGATGAACTAGATTAGATTCTGCATGCCCGATGCCCAAGGCAAAATCACACTTGAAGGAGGGGACTCTTTCAACAATGCATGTCGCGCTTGAACTGGTGTCCATCCTTCTCTTAACGTGGGTAGAAGTCCTCGGACGAGGGCTCGCAGTAGTGCCTGTGCAACTGCAAGGAGTCATACTTCTAGATGCTTCCTACGACATGTACGTGTATACCGTATACACATATGTATATACTTGGGTTTACACCCGGGTGATGGGCTGCTGTTGCCAGACGGGCCAATGACTCCTCACAGAGAGGTTGCAAGACTTGGGAGGTCGCTTTGGGGTCCTCCCTCCCCTCTGTTTTGGAAATACCCCTGGAATCTATGGACCTGAGGCTCATGCAGGCACATACTAGGATATGGTAGCAAGCGCATGCCTAGACTAGACTCACTATATGTCCGACCGCGGTGATCGATGCAAACGGGAATGTTCGCTCGCCGGTTGTGAGGCGGTAATCATTCAGTCGTGGCTTACATCCGCCAATTAAAATACTTTCTGACAGTTTGGGCAATGTTTATGTTACGGATAACCCCACAAATTCCAGGCACCATCAGTAAGGATTTTCGGTCCAGGGTTCAGGGTGCATTCGGCTTTCTCTTGCGCTTGCAAGCTGAGCGGGGATGTGGAACTCCTGAATGCCAAGTTGAAAGCCCGAAGCTATCAAGTCTTCCTGTGAAGCTGAAGGCTGAGAATCTCAAGCTCTCAGCCTTCAAGCCTCAATCCACAAACCCTGAAGTCTTCAAGCCCTAAGTCGACCAACCCCGCATCCAAAACGGACTATCAAGATCTGGGCTTACAGTTAGGGATTGTATGCGGAGAATATTGGGTTCAGGGCTTAACTTTTTCAGATGCAGCATTATCGAAGGATCATGACAGGCTTGCATAGCCCTGAAGGTGCCAAGAAGCCAGGTGATAGGGGCCTTACCTATCCTACAGTCACAGGGACTACAGAATTTTAGGTTCTAGACCCGCACTGTTTGGGCATGCCACTTTCGGGATAGAAACTCCCGATCCAGGACTTCTATACCCCCTATACTATTATAACCTATCCACGCAAGCGACTGACCGGCCTTCCAGATCAGCCTCTACTGCTGCCTCAGGTCCAGGGGTTGAATGATTTTGACCTAGATGTAGGACCTAGGATATTAGGTGCTTTCCATAGGTTTGAGTTTTTGTCCACAGCCCTGACGGGTTTAGGGTCCTGGTCCCTGGATCCTGAACCCAACCTTCATCCCGAAGCTTGAAAATTCTTCGTAGTAGCTCCTTTTGGAGGACGGTGGAAACCAGGTACCGTCTATCTCCTCAAGGTCGTCCTTCACGGCTTTGCAATGTGGCCGACCAAAACTAGACCCGAACCTTTTGCCATGTTTCAGAACTCCTCAGGCTGCACAAAACAGATCTTTGACCTCAACGCTGTAAGCCCGATTGGGGCGCAGGGCTGACGCTGCATGCGTGACTCACCAAGAAAAGCACGTATGCGTCACAAACACTAAGAGGTAACCCCAAACCATAATTCCAAAACCCACAGCCTAAACCCGGTTCCCTAAACTGCAAGGCTTGAACTGTAAACCCTCATCCCTGAGTCCTGGAACACGAACCGCTACACCCCATCAGCTTCAAGATCCCCTAAAGCGGGCAAACGTGCGATCTGTATCCCCTAAACCCCGTGAGCCAAGGTGCCTTATTCACCAGAAGCTTGCCCAAGCCGCGCTGCATTGAGGCGAGAGCTATCTGCCTCAGTCAAGGGCTGGATTGGTGCTCTGTTTATGGGTGTCATAGGACTCGGGGGATTAGGATTTAGGCAAAGGGGGCGTGCGGCTCGAGAATAGCCCAGGACACTTTCCAAACATTCAGGACTTGTTTTAGTGGTTTAAGGCAAGCTACAAATTAGTACAGAGCGCTTTGTACAGGACTTGTTTGTGGGTTTTTGATTTCACCATGTCTGGGGGGTCAGGACATGGTCTTAGATTCAGGGCCAGCACACATCCTCACGGTCCGGGTTCATACCCCAAACCCTAGGTCTTGCTCCTAAAGCCCTGCTAGGTGTGAGGAGTTGCCTTCCAAAGTTGCTTGAACATGTTTGTGCGGAGTCCGCGATATTCTCTACGTCCCCATCCATGGGGCTTAACAGGACGTGCTGAAGACGAGTCTTAGGTTTAGGATGTGGGGCTCATCTGTTGTCACATCTTAGGCTAACTGAGGCTTATTGGTTTTTGGAGGTGCATTGTCTCGCTGATGTATTGGGTACTGCCCTGTACGGTAACAAGTGTCATATTCCAGGATACAGGAGCTTCCAAAACAATGTTCCCCTTGCATGCCCCAATATAAACTCAACAGTGTCTGGTCTTTGGTATTGGCCCACTATTGGCCCACTACTGAATAAGCATCCTCCCGCATAGATCTACCATCTGTAGGATCGACAAGGATTCTAACCGATGCCTATGTCCGAGTCTGGTTTGTATACCGCAAGTGACGCTTGAATGGTTGTTCTCTTTCCGATCGAGTTTTCGGGAGGAAAGTTCAATGCCCCTCTGTCCGGTCCAGGTGTCTCGTGAGACAGCTCTACTATCCCGTATGAGACCTCAATGCCTGTGACCTGCGAACAATCCTGATGAACTGAACTTAACTGGCTCCGTATGTATCCCCGTAATGGCAATGTGTCGGCTGTAAATCCTGAACAGAAAGAAACCTTGACGTAGTCCGTATCAAACAAGATCAATACTATTCCACAAGTTTACATGTTTTGCATGTCTGGACGTAATTTTTGTACACCTGTAAAAACCACAGTACACACATGTATGTATGTAGATGTAGATGCACTGCACTCTTATCACAAGCTCCAAGCAAACCCTGTGTGGCGATCCTCGTGTAATCCTTCTATATCATGAAGCGTACAACCATTCAAGGCCCCATCACCTGAACCACCCATCAATAAGGCCTCACACAGGTGTTACACAACCCTTCTTAGCCATAGGAAAGCTTTATGTTCCAGTACAGGTTGCATTGATTTCACAAATCACACTTATGTCATCCATGCATGGTCCCGGCTTGAGTACATGTTCCTTAGAATGCAGGAAGCCATTAATCCAGGCATTAAGGAGACAGACTAGGCGATCGAACTTGGCATGCAGACATTGAACTTCGATCTCCCAATCTGACTTTGAGGCCTCTATGGGTTCACATGAAGCGACTACAACATTGCTTACAGCATGAACAAGGCACCCTCAACACAACAATTTCGTTTCACTATAGCAAACTTGTGCAGCAAGATTTCTAGAATTGCGCTANNCCTCCACCCCCCCCCAAAAAAAAAACATCTAGATCTTTGGAAGGCGTTTGTCCGACTGAGAAAGGGAACACACTCTAATCCCTGAAATGTCAGGGTTCACGGGACTTGGGGCAAGACCTGATAAGTTCGGAACTCCTGAGTGACTGTAGGTGTAACCTCTGCCCCTAGACTTGATCTTGAACCTCCAATTGATGAGCTGTTGGAGCTCGGGCACGTGTGCGCGAGAGGGACTCCAACGTTCCGCAGAACCGTCGAGTCCTTGCAGTGTTGCCAGGACCAACTATTCTAACTCCTACACGTACCTTTGGGAATGAGTACACGTTAATATTGGGATGCTGTGCCTCTGGGCTTCTGGGTGTATTCAAAAGCTATTTTGGGGTTCGGAGTCATGGCCAAAGACTTGCACCTAGCACACTTCATAGTGGCATGCATTGAAGAAGTAGCCTCCCTCTCCATACAAGACCGCAGCCCTGCCAGCGGAATTCCAAATTATCTGAATCTCACACTTCCTCAGATGCCGCACCTGGTGCCACTACTGCTACTATCATCTACTATCCTTCTAGCTACCGCTGTAACTGCTACACATCTTGTCAAGCTTCCGTAAGATCGCGCTGAAGTCTGGAGATGGGGAGCTTCTGCGAGAGATGCTCGAACATGGCCTTTCTGGGTTTAACACTTCTAGGGCTGAAGGTTTAGGTTAACATGCTGTCAAGGACTTTGTTCTTGTGAGGAGGTTTGGGAAGTCCTTCAAAACGACTCAGAGTTACTGCAGGGTTCAGTGGGACTAGTATGCGTATTCAGCATAATTCCTAACGTCATGGCCCTTAACGTGGAGGTTTACACTTGGGCTTGGGCTGGTGCAGGTCCAGGACAGGGCAGCTTGGGTTGCAGGTTAAGAGTGAAGGTACCAGGCTTCGAGGGCCTGACTGGTTTGGGTTAGCGGTCCCTGGCTTGATGCAGGCAAGGTTTTCAACATCACCCAACCAGCAACATCCAAGTACTCAAGTCGGGCCAGGGCTCACGGCTTGGGATCTAGGGCATATGAAGTATAGGGTTTGCAAGGCCGATCTTTCAGTCGTCGCTTTGCAGGCTCTACTCCTTTGGGGAATCCCTCCATTCTTTCAATGCCGTATATATATATATATGACACAGGCAGGTGAAGCCAGCCTCGCGAGGTGCTGATACTGTGCAGATTCAACAAGTCCAATTGCCCCTTACCTGCAGTCTAGGGGATTTCCGTAGTACTTCACGCTTGGTACAAAACCATATCATCAGTCAATGGCCTCACCGGAAAACTTGAAACCCTGAAATGGAAGTTTAGGGAACGAACGGTGAACCCCAAAAGTTCATAATCTAGACTGCAGTCTGAGCGGCGTTTGCAAAGCCAAGGTTGCCCTCTGCGTTCTCGAAGTCAATGGGGTTGACCTCGACATTTCTGTGGATCAGGTGGTTTCTTAGATTATAGGTTTCTCAAATTCAGGCTTGGGGCGCTGTTTGGCCGTATGGTGTTATGTGCAGTCTTCTTTCATGATTCCCAGCACGTGGGCTCGGTATGCATCTTTGAAGGTTTCAATTCTTGTTAAACTTCGACCTGGCTGACGCGACCCCAACCCTAAGCCCTTCCGTGCCCCACACTCGGGCCTGCACAGGAATGTCCGCATCTCTGATGGCTTAGCGTGTGCATGCCTTCCAGCCCCACAAGGTTACCCTAGGCTGCCTTGCGTCCCAGCACCCGCTTAAACTCTATAGACAAATTATGTTGGGCCTGAGCGAGGGTTTATTTAGGGTTTAAGGATGGTGGATAAACGCGGAGACCGTGCTGGCTCTCACTGTGACCCTAAACTTTAGGTCCTGAAGCCGAACCATTCGGCTACCTCCTCCCATTCTGTAGGCTTCGGGTTCCCAGCATGTACATCACAAACTCATGGCCTCGCCCGTCAGGCTGCCTACACCTAGACCCTCTCAATGCACTCGTTACTTGCAGCTTTTTAGTGCCTAAGCGCAAAACCTGAATCCTGAATCCTGAATCCCAAATCCCAAAGCCGGAGCCACACCAAGCAAGACAGCTCCCTGCTGGAGTGACCCGCGCCTTGTGCGGCATCGCACTGGAGCCGACTTCCCCAGCGACAATCTTCTGCTTAAAGTACCTTTCTAGGGCCGAGTCTGGGCTAAAGACATCCTAGATGGCAAAATATGCGAGCATGCTGAAGCGCATGTTCATGCTCTGGCAAGCCCCAAATCAAGATCCACGGTATCATTGAGAAGTAGTCAAGAATCGGCCTTTCGACAGGGCCCTTACGTTGACAAGATATTTTAACGGAATCTGAGAGACAGCAGGCGCCTCCAGACATCAATAGGTTGAGACTTCCGGGCTGAAGCTTCAGCATTTTGGGTCCAAACTGAACCCCGCTATGCAGCTGGCCAAAGCATTGGGTTCGTCAGGAGCAGATACTTCAAAGGTTCGTGGACAAAGCTGCCACAATGAAATCAGAACGCAAAATGAGATATCAAATTACCTAGACCCTCCAACAACAATTGGAATAAAAATCCACGTTTAGGAACTGTTGCACCCGAACCAAGAACTTGGAGGGTTGTGTTAGCTAAGGCAGGGGGCAATTTTGAAGTATCATCTTTGATTTGTCCCGGAAGCCCTCGCAAGACCACGAAACCAGAGCTAACTAAACCTAGACAATGCAGAATGTGCAGCTGCAGTCAGGGGGCTCCATAGAGACGTACATCCACACGTCCCGGCACATGTCGGTGAGGATGGTGTTTAGTCTCTTGATGGCGTCCTGGGCTCCAAAACCCCCAAAGCCCAAAGCTTACAGTCCAGGCTCTTGGCCCCTAATCCGTAATCCTCACATCCCGGGCTCTCAACCCTACGGGCCAAAGCCATGGTTTTCCTTCACAAGAGCCTTCCATAAACTAAGGCCCTCCCTCCGCGATAAGCACAAATTTAAGCTCATAACGATTGGAAGCAAAGACAGAGACTCAGAGACACCCAACGTTTGAAGCTCTACAAGAATGTCTGAAACTCTACCAAACAGCTTGTCAGCTTTCCTACTACCCTAGACACTGTGACTGTTCGGACTGCTGAACCGTACGTCTCAAACCCGAAGCCCTTAAAGGCACATAATTATGGGATTTTATAGGCAGGAGATATTGTTTAAAGGGAGCACAGGCTAGAATCCCACATGCTCCAAAATTCTGGCACCCGACCGGTAAACTTGTCAAATGCGTCTATGTTGGTGTTGTGCCTGAAGCTTGCCACAAACAACATCATGTCAGGCGCTAGAAGGCCACATGAATGTCGCCCCCTGTTTGGCCCTCCAAGCCAAAACTCTGAAACCGAATACCTCAATCCAAAGCCTTGGACATGACCTTTGAGGGCGGCACGAAGATTGCACCCATGTTGTCGTAGTGCTCGATCTGCGTTGTGTACCTTACGTTCTACTGCACCCACGTCAAGAATGCCCTGGAGCTGCTCAGTAAAATTTAAGTACGAAGTCCCACAACTTCCCTTGTAGAATCTGTGCTTTGAACAAGCACTGGCTTTAAGATCCGTATTGGTCGAAGGTAGCATTGAGGTTGCATTCGCACCTCGAAACCTAGATGCGAGGATCTACGCAGGCTTGGAACTGGACATCCGGACAGGAGTACACACCAACATTGGACCTGTATTATGGATGGTAATCCTGTTTGTAACATGCTACCCGTATCTCCATCTTCTAGATATACGGGCTTACTGGGCTCTATAGATGTATTCCAATCTACCTGGATGGGAAGATATTGCTTGCAAAGTCTGAGGCCTTCATCTGGTCAGGACATGACACCAAATATCTATAACTCTGGACCTTTGAGCTATAGTCTTGAAAGCAGCGAGTGCGAGTGCTAGTAGTTACTACGTAATTCTACTACTATACTGCTACCAATACTGTTACCAAACCATACTGCTACTGCTACCGCTACTGGCGCTAGAACCAGACCTTCTACTCCTGTTACTGCAAAGTGGCGCCCAGAAGGGGTATTCTGCCGAGAGGAAACCGAATTTCATGCATCTGCTTCGCTGCGTAGGATCAATGGTTCTTGTCTCCAGGGCTTCGGGCGTTACAGCTTTCTCGAGAGAAGGGACAATTGACCTGAGCGTCTAATCAGCCACGGGCCATTCCGTCCTGAAGAGCACGCTTGCAACCTCTTAGTTACCCCAAAGCGATGATACCGATAGACGCAACCATTAGAGTTGGTTCCCTCTTGACAAGCGCCCGCCCTACTCTTTGCACGTTATGGTTCAGGGATGATTTAGGATGGGTTCCTCGAGGACCTGACAAGAGCTGTTGGTGGATGCGGTGACCTGAGCTCAGAGTCCAAATCTCTAAGTCTTCAGCCCAAACCCCCAAACCCTTCTGACCCTAACCCTGAGCTCTGATGACTCAACCCCCTAAGCCTACATGTATGTATAAATATATATGAGTATATGGCATACCTCATAGACATGTGCTAGATCCTTCTCTTAAGGTCCAAGATGCTGCTGCCTGGACAGGCCAAGGCTCTTGCTGCAGAAGTCGTTGGCAAAGGTTCGCCAATCCTTGAGGTTTCTGGTGTAGTACGTGATTGGTCTAAAATGTTGGATTTAGGGATTCAGGCGCGGGGTACAGGTTGTGTTCAGTGTTGGGGATGGCGTGGGTCCGAGATGGGCTATTCTGTTCGCAGCTACTGCTGCGTGCTGACCTGCACAATGCTGTACTCCAAAGCTGATGCCGGAGGCTGTCTGGCCCTGATTCCTTTGTCACGTGTTGCGCATCACCTTCTCGGACTTGGACTTTGGCTTTCCTTTTTTTGCTGCTGTGCCAGGCCACGGAAGGATTGCACCCAGGCCTTTTGGCAAAGGCTTGTGGGAGCCGGAACGGCCACTCACGGGCGTAGCATTGCGTACCCTCTGCTGGGTACGTATTCGATGGTTTTGAGATGACAGGCCGTCCTCAGCTATCACGCGAGGTTCTCATTCCACGACTCCCATCTGAAAGACAGTGGTGGCAGCAGACGGGCCTGTAACAACAACGAAGGAAAGAGCAACGCCAGCAAGGCCTTACCAGCGTACAACCAGCAGAAACCCTAAGAAATTAAGAGCCCTGAAGTTAGCAACCAGTAGTACCAATGTCACCACTTAGCGAACATGAGTGATTGCTGATGCGATTGCTTTTCCGTCCCCGCCTGCTTCTGCGACTTCGACCACAAAGCTTTGTGACTCTTCTATTGACTCTGTTGCGTTCAGCCCGGAAACTCACACGCCCTAAGCCCCAGATCCTGCACCCTAGAAACACTGAGGCCTTGAAACTCCAAATCCCAAGGCCCTGCACTCTATAGCTCGCAAGCCCGCAGGCCAGAAACCCAAAACCTGTACTTCGCAGTGCGAGACTCAATGTCAGGGAAGGTCACCAGGTGGGCATTCCTCTGTGAAACGCAGGTGCAACAAATACTTGAAGGTCTTCAAGTTTGGGCTTTCAGGATTTCAAGTCAGTGAGGGTGAGGTTGAGCAGTTAAGGGGCTTGACATGATAAACAATCATGTGGTCATGGTAGAACCCAAGAGCTGTCATAGGGCCCCTGAGGTAGGGGCCACCACATCCTGTTTGTTGCCTCAAAATTCTTAGGCGCAAAGACCACAAGCTCCAGATCCCAAACCCTAGAATAAAGCAGACCCTCCAATCCCCAGATTTGAGGGTGTATCAACATGGGGGGCGGCACCACAAGGAGCCCTAGGGATGTGTTCTTGCGAGAACTGTATGGAGCGGAGCTCTACTGGATCCCTGCTTTGACAATTCCCATGAACCATCAAAAACGGGGGGTCTTGGGCTTTGCGGATCGAAACGAATTCCGAGTCCGGGGATATTCAAGCACTGGGTACTTCTCTATGTTCTAGTTGCCACAGATAGGGCCCCGCAACCACTTCAGATGGCCTCATTACCGCAATCGTTTGGAGAAGCTGCCTTTTGATTTACTGCTTGGATCTGTGGAAACCTAAAACTGGGAAGGTATTCACCTCCTTAACCATAATTTCAGCTTGGAAGTTTGTAATCCGAAAGCTTACGCTGACCCAACAACCTAGCACGAGCTTAAATTGCTGTATTAATACTGTATTAAGCTAAGGGTTGTTGTTGTTTGCTGGTTTGGCCTAGCTGCATGTTGCCAGTGGCTCCACCAAACTTGCAACTGTGCGGCACCTGCAGCCAGCGGTCAGCGGGAAAAACAAAGTGTCCTGGCTTCCTTTACAAGACTCTTCGGCCCCAACATACTCGTACAACCGATTCCGGCCCTGGTTCCTGAGGTGGGGAAGTTTGAGCCTGGTGACGGACTGAATATCATCCCTCACCCGAAGTAGTAGATGATGTAGCATTGCATACCGCCTGTTCCAGGTTTGTTTTTTCTGCTAAAACTGCTAGAGTTCACAGGTTGGGCTTAGGCTGAAGCTTTGGACCCCAGGATTTTCAAGCTAAAGTAGTCGGGCCTTCCGAATGCACATAGGCTTAGGGTTGAGCAAGCAGACCTTTGGCGGAGTTGGGTCCAACGCGTTGTCTCAATGCTCTTCATCAAGTGCAAAGGCTTGTGGCGGTCAGCGATTTGCTGTAGCCCATCCATGTGATTGTCTTTTAGGGTTGGGCTGACTCGGCTACAGTTTCAATGAAGTGGGCATGTCTAGAGTCATAGATCCGTTTTCTTTGGGCTCGGTTCTGAATAGCTTCATGAAACATAAACGGTCGTGGAACCCCTGCAATCTGTCAACCTCATTTGACTATCCAATAGCCGTGAATCATTCCAGGAATTGCTGAGATTGTACGGAGCACGCTGGGTTGAATCAACGTTTTTCACGAACAGATGTGAAGGACTTAAAGCGGACGATGTGAGTTTGGCACCAAGGACCAGAGACCAACCCGGCATCCTAAACCCCTTGAATCCCTACAACCGAATGTCCGAAACCCTCAACTCCTAGACTAAAACTCGAAGTAACGGAGCAAAGCACAGGCGGCCTGCTTCAACAGATCGAGTTGCGCTTCGATCCTCTCAATGAAGACCTGAAAACATGGGGCTTACGTTGGATGTCCCTCGAAAAGGGCTAGGGGCTATAATAAGAGGGTCATGTAACGATACATTCGTATGTATGTATGTACGTATGTATGTATGTATGTATGCATGCATGCATGCAAGGTTCAGCGCTTAAAGTATCAGATGTCGGGGCTCGGAGGCGTGCAACCGAAACTTTGAAGCATGAGCCCGAAAAAAAATGCAGAACGCAGAGCGCTAGAACTTCAGCCTCGAACCTTCAACTGCGAACCTTTCAAAAGTAGGTAGTTCTCAAAGGGAAGGTTGCCCGGATGTGACCTCAATGGCTTCAGCGGTCCATAGATGCGTCTTCGGCACAACCTCTTGCAACCTCTCAGTCTCTGAGCCCAGCGCAATTCTAGGGAAGAACTGTCAACTCTGAGCCAAGGTTTCTCATTCAAGGCTTGTACCCCAACTAGAGTGACTAGAGCCAGTGCCCGGTTTGCACAGCTCATGTATGCTGATAGGTATCCATTTTGATGATCATAAAATCCGTGGACCAAAGCACTTGAGATCCCAATGCAAAAGCAAGCCTTGGACGATGGGCTAAAAGCAATCTTTACTCTCAGACCTCCGACTTCAGGCCAAGCCTCAACCTACAACTCTTGCACGCTCTCCTTCGAGGCTGCGAAAAAGCACTAGCTAAGAGCTTGCTCAAATCACCGAGCCCACCCTGTATATCACGACATCATGCTTGGCAGCTTCAACCCAAAGACGTAATCGGAAATATGAGAAAAGTACACTGAGTAGGGGCCACTGGCCTTCCAGGTACGTAAAGCTTTGGGGCCTTGAACTCCTTGGCCAAGTTTGTGGGCGAAGCCGGCTGTCCGTGGGTTTTGGCCTTAGCGCAGCATGGGTTTTAGGGTTCTGGGCCGTTGTTAGGGCTAGGGCTGCGAGATTCCCACTTTGTGGGGGCCTGGGGCGAAGGATGTTTTGCTATGGCATGTGGGGCTTAGTAGCGTAAAGTGCCAGCGTCAGTGCTTAGGAATTCAGAAGAAACGCATAATGTTTGGGGTGTAGGCTGATGAGCTCAGAACATGATATGGGATCTTCCCAAGCGATCGGTATTGCACCAGTTTAAGGACAGCTCTTATCAGGTCATCTAAGGATTCTGAAGGCTCCTGCAAGAAGCTCCTGCGCTGGACTCAATCGAGGCTTCAGCGGTGGTGCCTACTGTGCCTGCATTTCATTAAGACTGGCTTTGTGGTGAGGACCTCGTAAGAAAGGCCGATTGGGTACAAAGCAACGAGCCCAAAACCCGATACCGCGCAGCTTGAACCCGAAAGCATCTCAAGACTCAAGGTTTGAGCCTCAGTGTGAATGCTAGAGGCATGGGGCCTGCCTCACCAAACAATCTAAACTTCGGGAACCCAACGTCTATCCAGGAACCTGGTTGGCCCAAAAGCTTTTTTGCTACTTGGACCCTCAACGCAAGGCCTTGGAGATCGGAGCTTCAGGGTCGGGTGTCTGGGCACGAGGTCTTCTCAAGGATGCCTCTACGAAAATCAAGAATGTACAGGGTATACAGACGGATAGTTGGACGACCTAATGGATTATATATGGGCTATTTGCAATTCTTGCAAATGGTCCCTATAGTTTATGCCAGGTGGGGCGCCTAATCCTCAACAACTCCAAACACATCTCTGGGAGTCCTAGGGTCCTAGGGGGTAACCTCGCCGTCTTATAAAACTCGCATATCTGCAGGCACGCAGCCAGCATCGGCATATCCCACTCAGGCAGCTTGCCTCCGCTACAGAACCAGAGGACTTCAAGCCTTTGGGAGAGGAATATGCCATAGATCATATGCAGGCACCGCTATGATTCAACCTCTACTCCTTCGTCAGGGGCTTATGCAGTTTCTGGGCAAGCTTGGCTACGCACCTGACACCCCAAGCTTCATAATCAGGAACGTCGCTTATTAAAATAGCAGATCGACATCATGAGAACGCGTTTTGGGGGTCTACAGCTCACTGCTCCTCCTAGCGGAATCCCTAGAGCATTGGAAAATGTATTGTCAAAAGGGGGTTTAGGGTTTTCTGCTTCAAGGTCTTTTTGGCTTGGCTTAGCCAACTCCATTCATGAAAGTGAACTACAGCCTGCACTCAAACTCTAAGGATCCTACTGCATTGTGCGCAATGGACTTTAAGCCCTGGATCCCACATCCTATAGCAAAGCTTCTGAAGCCGAAATGTCAGCGAAATTTCGTCTAGGACTCTAGATTCCTATTTGTGATGTACATCGGCACTTTCAAACGCATGAACAAACAAGAACTTACTTGCAACACCGGGAAACCTACATCCCGAACTCCCCCTGGAGTACTAGAGGCCCACCTTAAAGCTTAGTGATCCACTTCAGCCCTCAAGGGGCACCCCAACAGGATTTGTTGAAAATTGCTGGCTCCTCAAAACTTGAACTGAGCTCTACTCACACACTGCCATTTCAAGATCTGGGGCCACGTCAACATGGAGCGCTGCTACCTACTTGCAATTGTACTTCTAGCCACATTATGTATATCCATACGTGGGGAACTTGTGGGACTGGCAGTTGGGCTGCCCTGAAGGTTATGACTAGGTCTAGATTATGACTTTCTGCAAGAGACGCATCAAATATCTGGGTTCTCTTTGCTCAGGCTTGCCTGGCAAGAGTTCATGTTAGGACGCGGAGAAGGTCCTACACTGGAAGATTGAAGTGACATATTACTTTATCTATAACCATTTCAAAGCCCCAAGCCTCAAATCTCTAAACCCTGAACCTGCACTTCTGCAGGGTTTGGATTCAAGTCGAAGTCGGCCTCGAATGGTCTCCACCAGGGCCTCCATGGATGGGATGTAACCTCGAAGTTTCAAGCATTTTGGGGTCGTCACTCCAATTTTTTCTACCACCTGAACGCGATATCAAGCAACCTATGGGACGTGTCTGCTTAACCTTGAGCAAGGCAAGATGCCAGGTTGCGCTGGTTTAAGGCTTTGGTCAGTTTGGGTGTATGGGTTGAAGACGATGACATGCCAAATTTCACTGCACATTGGACTCTTTCAACTTCTGCCAAATGTCCTGTCAGTGTCGTCCAAGCAGATCAAAACTGCTGAAGCTCAAGGGTTATCCAAGAAATCCCGAAACTCGAATTGCCTGGACAGGCTGACAGGTTCTATTTCCCATGCGCGTGATCTTCAAGACCTGCAGCTCATAACCTAGCCTCGAACAGGAGCTGCAGGAACCCGCAAGGGAAGTGCAGAATTGATCAGCCTTTTACAATCTGTGGGGCTTACTGGCGCAGTGCAGTTCATAGAGTTCATAGAACGGCAACTTACAAGCAAACTTGAAAACACCTTCCTGGCGGTAAAATGCTGCTGTTCCCCCGGCAAAGACCCCCAGGGATGACTGGGATTCCCTGATGGTTAGCAAGAATGGTGAGGCACATAATGAGACCTGTTGCCTTATAAAGGGTCTAGGGACTGCTGTCTAGGCAACCTTCTGAATACAAAATTATACACCCTAGACTATTCTGGAGCAAGCCCGATCCCCCAACTTACAGAATCTTCTATCAATCCGTAGCAGACCACGGACGTCAAGCAGTGGGATTTTGGTGTCTGAAGCATGGGGAATCTAGGGGGCAACATACGAGACCAGTACCTGGGCAACAAGACAAACCTACACCTTCAACCCAGGACCCAAAAGCTGATCAAACCCTAAGCCAAATGTGTTTTAGGGCGAGTCGCTTCTGTGAATGGCATCCCTGAGCAACATCGGCGTGGCCGTGTTGTTGATATCCTCTCTGCGGACCAATCTGGAGGGAAGTGACTTGAACCGTACCTACGTAACAGAATGTCCCTGTTGCATCAAAACAGACGGATTAAGAAAGCTTGTTGCGGATGCCCTGCTTCATTGTGTCTGCCGGAACGGGTTTGCTGATAGTCGCTGAAACTTTCGAGCTTGTTCATGAAGTCCATGTGTTAGACACATCACAAGAGACCTTCCTCCTGTATGATTTAGCCTGGGGCGTCCCTTTTCCAGGCACAAAACTGCAAGCATGGGTGTTTCCATAAACAGGGGTCTCCCCATCTATATCCCATCTTTTTGTCATCCACCATGCTGGCGGCCCCATAATAGGACCAGTGCTCTGGACAAATGCCCTACGAACTTCAGTACTGTTCATACAGTCTCCACTATCCCACTTGCTTTTAAATCAGAAGCCCGTGAACCCATGAAACCCTGAAACAGTTAGGGTTGAGTCACGGCTTCGAGATTGGGGTTTAGGCTCTGGGGATAAAAATATGGGGATAAGGTTAGACGTTCACGTGCATTGAGGGTTCAAGGCTGATGGCTTACAAACAACATGAAACCGACTCTGACACAGCTGAACCCCGCGGCACGAACACCCTCCAAGCCTTGTCAACAAGCAGTACCCTGCCCCGAAATGGACGTAGTGATAAATGTCGCTATACAGCGTCAGAACAGTATTGCAGAACAACTCAATGTTTAGAAGCTCAGACGCAACACATGTCTCCTGGCTAGTCAGCGCAAAGTGCACCCATTCCTGCGCAAAGTTACAGGTTTGGGGATTTGGGGATCCGGGTGCAAGGCTCCACACGGCGTGTGGTCGGGCCTTGAAGCCCAAGCCATGAAATGCTTTTAGTTTGATCAGGGCATGAGCCTTTCGATCACATTTGGAAATCTAATCAAGAATGCCGCTTGCGCCTGCCGATCTTCCCCATGATTCACATCATTATCCTGTTGCTCGCTCCTTCATTCCGTGCTGACTAATCAGGGGCTCCCAAGAGGGCACTTCGTAGGGCAGGCGAAAAGGTTGAGGGGGACGGCGAGAAGTGTTTTTCTTCAAGTTTCACACGAAGCATTCACACGGTCTGTCTATGTACTCTGCTCCCCCGAAGCTTTGTCCAAGTCCCTATAGACCCTCAAAACCAAACAGACTAACCTTTGTAATGGCCAAGGCTCCTACTAAGATCCTCCTATACATTTCCTGCAACCCCCGTAAACGCTAATCTCCAAACTTCTGAAGGCGTGGACTCCTGACACCTCCTCCGAAACAACGAAGCCAGGCTACAGACAGAAAAAGCTACACTCCGAATCCCCAACCTTCAGGCCTAAACCTTTGCATCACCTTTTCATGTTTTGCAAATAGTAAAAAACCCAAGGCTTGACCTGAAACCCTCCTTGTACTTTTCCAAGCCCAGCTCGTCGAAGCGCTTCTTGATGAAGTACTCGACGGCCTGGTGCAATTGAGGTTGATGCTTGATTATAAGGCTTATGGTCAGGGGTTTGGGTGTCTATACGCATACGCCTAGGGAACAGGGTTCAGGTTCTGCGTGAGAACCATCACGAAACGTGACTGTTGCAGCTTGATTCATGGACGGTTTCTTGACTTGAGGTCAGGCTTAGGATTCAGGTGTACATGGTGCTGTTTGGGGTTAGCGCCACCCGAGTGGTGCAACGAGATAGGAGATTCAAGAATTGCGTTCCTTCATGCGCCGCCGGTATGTAGTTCTACTCAGAGTGCCTCCGCAATCTTCCCTCGGTTGTATTGGTGCCTGGATTAGGTTGAATGCCGCTTCATGATTAGTGATTAATCTAAGCCTTGGTGGTGTTGTCTGCAAAACTGCGGGCGATGTGCCTTAATTCTTCTGCTGACGCTGCCAGCATCTTTAGTCTTGGGGTCTTTTTCCGCTTTGGGCTGAGACTTCAAAGTTTAGGTTTGACGGTCTGCTATCTGGGTTCAAGTGACAGCTGCGGAAATTCGTCGTCTCCATCTGCATAGGGAAAGGGGCGAGCTCAGAGACAGTGCATATTTGGATTGTGGCCAGCATGCACTGGCGAGTGGTTGTAACGTTTGCTGATTGGTACAAACCCTTCAAACGCCCAGCTAGGCGCCGCGAATGCCCCTGAATCTTGCTACCATCCGCCTAAGTTGGCTAGCCACCATCGTGGGCTCTTGGTCTCCGACTGGTGGGCACAGCAATACATCCCCTCCCTCTTTAACGGCCTTGGTGGTCTTGTCATGTCTCAGGGTGACAGGCTCTCACCAAACTGGACGGTAATCCACACCCCTTAAATTGACAACCCAAACCTTTACGGAAAAGCCTGTCATCGGACTCGGCAACCTTGGACGAATTTTGGTACCTTGGTCCCCAAGTACTTTAGTGCCTATACATATACACTCTAGAAGTACATACACCTTTGGGCTAGTCCTGCAGACTCCAAGGAGGCACCTTCACATCGTGGTTGGTGACCTTCCGCGTCAGCTTGGGCTTTAAGATCGCATATAGGGTTGAGGGCTCGGCTTACGCTGCTTGAGGGACCAGGGCAAGTCTTATCTACCCAGTCAAGAGATTCATGTGTAGTTCAGTCTCGTCCCTGATGCTGTAGGCATACTCGCCTGAGACACATGCCTAAGTATGCCTATGCAAGGCACCCAACTTTCCAGTTGAAGTCTTTGGTACAGTAGGTCTGCCAGCAACGCCTGGCTGGAAGCTGCGGGGGCACGTTCCTACTTAGTTGGCTCCTCGCAATCTGCAACTCTCTCCCACACAGACATGGAGTCCACAAGAGACTGATGAAGACTATCCTCTTCTTCGTGGGGGCTACTCAGGGTTCCATGTTAACTTGGGGAAGTGGAGTCCCCAAATGATCAACAGCGCTAAGCGCACAGTGACCTTGAGGAAGAAAATAGCACAAACCATACAGTCCTGAACTCTAAACTCTACACCCCCCCCGACTCAAGCCTCAAACCCCAGGCCCTAAGCGCCAAGCTCTAAACCCTCAATCCTAAACCGTAATCGCAACATTGACGCAGCTGCATCATCATGAACTGAAATGTGGAACCAGGGAGGTATTGTAATTTGCAGCAATGTCTGGGGTTCAGGGTCTTGGCTTGGGATGAGGGTTCGAGGTCTCGGGTTTTGGGTTACATTTGAAAAGACTGCAAAGGTCTCAATCACCACGACTCGGCCTGAGAATCCCAAAGTAAGCGCAGTCTGAAATAAGTGTATATACAGACTTCAGAGTGGTAGGAATTAAGAAGCTGAGCTTCTAGACTCATCTGGTCTATGCTGACAGGCTCAGGAATCGATGCTTAGGGCGTAAAGGAAGCACAACAGTCTCCAAATCTTCTGCAACACAAATGGGGTTTCTCAGTGGTTTATGAGGCCTGTGCGGAATCCCCCAGAAGCTTTGGCTAGGTATGAGCTTTCTCCAAAGTTGCGACCCAAAACCGCCAAGCCTGGAGTAAGCCCGCAGGACCCAAACAATCAAGCCAATTCTTCTCGGCATGCCTTCTCCGTGTCTTTGATCTCCTTGGCATCCTGATAACTTGCTTCGAGGTTATGTTCTGCCTTAGATCGAGGATGGGATGTGGGGAATAGAGCAAGGCGTTCAGCATTAAAGGCTCCGGGGACACAGTTGGGGAGTTACAGTGGCTAAGGTTGCAGGGCACAACTGTCTACGAGGTCAAGGAACTGGGCTTTGGCATGAAGGTGTAGGTATTAGTTTGGGCAAAGGCAACAAACACTAAAAGGAATTACAGGCAGTCTTTGGGCTAGTGAGCCCTGACCCCAAACGCGAAGTCCAAAGCATGCAAACTCCCCTGAGCCTATACGAAATCCTTAACCACAAGCCCTCAAACTCACACAATTTATCCCGAAGCCCTGCAGCCCCAAAAAAACTCAAACCCCATATCCCGGTGCCTCGACAGTAAGCTTTGCCGGGATAGCTCGTAGCTTCTCGTCGGTGCCTCCGTGCCAGGTTTGAAATTCGAGCTTTCGGGCTTGCGAGCTTACAGGCTTGGGGTGTTAGGACTCAGGGCTTAGGATTTGGAATTGCTCATGGCATGTAGGAGGAAAAGAGTTGCTTGTCATGTGCACAAGAACAATGTTGGGGGGCTCAAGGGAGTCTAGGGACATGAATATATGCGCATACACAAAGAAAATTATGAGCGATAATCGCATTGCTTAGGGGCCTGAATATAGCAGTCTTCGATGCCGCAGAGTTGTCACTTCCTTGATGGTGAGCGAGAGCGTAGCCTGTTTCATCTATGGAGAGACTATCTCGACGTGATGCATCACAGGCTTCACAATGCCTGCTGGGCCGCAGCTGGAGGATATAGGACGCCCCATGTGTCAGGGTCAAGGTTCAGGGTCTGGAGCACTGGAATTGTTTACCCTCAGCCCTGAACCCTGAGCCGTGTCCCGAACCTCAAGCCTTAGGATTCAGAGGATGTCTCATTCTCGTACTTCAGTTTTTGAGCAAAGGCCGTCGCAACCTACGAGGTCTACAGCGTGGACGCCGAGCACCCTGAACTGAAAAACTCAGTCGTGCTAATCCCCGGCCCTTGACGCTGTTGTACTGAGCGGCGGCTACTGCTGCTGCTGCCGCTGCTGTTCTTGTGGTTGTGGTTGTGGTTGTTGTTGTTGTTGTTGTTGTGGTGGTGGTGGTGGCGGCGGCGGCGGCGGTGGTGGTGGTGGTGGCGGCGTGGTCGTGGTCGTCGTCGTCGTGACTTTCCTAGGTCGTCCCGTTTCTGTCGTTTTGCAAGCACGTGTGTTGTGT